GACTGAACGTATAATCTCGAGGTGGAGAGGTAAGTCTTTTGATCATTCATCGACTCAGTTGGAATTCAATCAACCTTGAATTCTAGCTTCGACCTAGTTCGCCACTGTCAATCAGTGCCATAGTTGAGCGTCCTCCATATCGCCATATGACGAATCGAAAAAGTTAGAATTTAGGGGCCCCTTGATTTCAGTCTAGCGACTGAATATCCAACAAGCTTGCCAGAAGGTCTTTGATTTGGTTTCTTGTGAGGTTGTGTATCAAGACCGTTGAAGAGTTTCAAACAAGGGCGAAACAACTGTCCGGTGCTTCTTAGCTTTCAGTGATTCCTCAGCTTATGACAGTTCATGATGAGTTCTTTGTTGAAGTTAATCGAAATTCCAACAAGATCCATGGCTCTAGTTCATAATTGGAATATGATGCGTCACAGGTGGAAATATTTTACTCACCTTATTATTACTGAAATTTCATTATTAATAATATAAGTAATCAGTCGCTTTTTGTGCACTGCTCATTTGTCGTCTATCACTTTGTTCTCTTTGTTTTTCTGAAATTTTCTAATGCTAAGTTTTTTTCATGATATCTACTCTAACATGTTACTGTCACTGCCAGTAAACGACATGTTGTAATGTAATCTTATTGTATGTAGCATAGTGAGGGTATTCTGTCATTGGACTTTTACCTTTAAAATGTCTGAAAAGGTGTAATTTGTTTATTTTTTATTTTTGATTTACAGCTTGATTCCACACTGTATTTTTGGTACAAGTATGAGATTTTCAGCATGGATATCGGTAGCCCAAGTTGTGCAGGCCGACCATAGATATCAGGTGTGCTTCGTCGGCAGGGGATCGAACCTCGGACCATGTGCATGGTCGGCGAGAGCCGTAACCACTGTGCCACCGACGCACAGTGTAATATTTTGTCGAGCGTGTCGATGATTTTGAATTATTTAAATGGGGAATGCTGGACTGATCTGACCGCGGTACACTTCACATGTTGGTTCGTTGAAAGCGTTTATGTTTCAGCTGAGTTGTGTTGAAATGAAATGTTGCTACTATAAGAAGAAGAAGGAAGTAATTGTGAGGGTGATATTTTATGCTAAAATGGTTAATTTTTGTTTGTAAAAACTGCACTTCTTTTTGACATAGATTCATTTTATAAAGACTTCATTAATTTCACTGGTTACTGAGAATTTTCGTGGTTACTTAATGCGAAGCGCTGATCACTTCCAGACATAATAATATTAATGTCATTCATTTCACTTAAAAGTGATCACCACTATTCTTTTTTCTCAACTTCATTTTTTGCTTGAAAACAAGACTTTATAAAGCTTTTTTTCTCTATTTTTTTCTCTTCTCTTCCCTTGTATCCTGAAAGTCATGTCATATTTTCGTACAATATTCAATGTCATGGTTGAATTTAAACTGTCTCCTTCTTGGCTTGTTTGTTTAAGTAGCATTTCTAAACTGATAGCTAATTTTAAATTAGGCGCTTTGCTCGATTTCTTACCTTTAAGATTATATATATAAAGTCTATAAAATTCTATTTATTGATTAGTATTACTCATATTATAAAACTTTCAGTTTATTTATATATAGTAGTCATAAAAAAGTTGTCAGTGGAATTTGATTGTAAGCTTTTTCAACATTTGGCACAGAAAATAATTTAACTTATAGCTGTGATTTTTTGTGCTTGTTTTTATTTCTGGCTTGAGATATTTTGTTAACTGCGTAATAAAATAGAAACGTTTTACCAGTTAAAATGATGAAGGAGGACTGAATTTTACCATTATTATTATTCCCTTGTGTTCCGAGTGGAACATATACAGGGCTTCAACTGCACTTCTTCGTTTCATCCTGGTCTTTGCAGTTCTCTTCAGCTGCTTTGGCGACTGCTGTTGTTAAGTTTTCATTTTCTACTCCTCACACTATCTCCTTCATGTCATCATCCTGCGATCTACGTCCAACAGATCGTGGTTTCTCACTTGGGTGCCATTCCAGGTTCTGCCTAGCTCATGATATCATACAATAGTATTCTTAGAGTACTTCCCATTCACCCCTTTCATTTCCTGCTGCATATTTGTTGAGTGATACGTTGCCAGAGAACCGGTCAACCACCTGATCTTCTGTATCTAGAGAAGGCAACTGTTGACTGAGTATGCATAAAGCTGTTTCAAAAATGCTTTTCGTGACACGTCAGTTCTCTGGCGTGGTTTTCGAATGGAACACGGAGCTTCAACAACATATCTCGACTTTGTCTTATTGTCTGGTATCCTCTTTAGCTAGCCCCACGAATGCCAAAAGTCTCTCATCTCTTCAGTGCACGATTTCTTCGATGGCACTTTCTGATGCCCGCCCCCCCGTCGTTTCCTGTTCGCGTTTCACTCGAGGTTTTGTCTGGTGTGTTAAGTCACTTAAACGATCTCGGTGTGTGTTCGGTCCATTTCCACTTTCTTCTGGCAGTAGCTTCTTGGTTGGTTTGTTCCCAGGGCTCTTTGTTGTTATTCTTTCTGGTTGGCTATCTGATCTTCATTATGGAGCCATTGAAGGGCACTGTTGATAGAAATCTGCAGCAAGCTGTTGGAAATGCTTCTGGTAACACACCGAGTCTCTGACGACTAAAGATAGTAGTAATAAATTTAGTGGCCTTCAAGCTGTAGGGTTAAATTCAGAATCAATCCAAGTCCTGAAACAACTCAAGCCTTCTTTTAACTTTATTCAGTAGAAGTCTGCCAACCCAGTAAATTAATGGTCTACGAGCTCACTCGACCTGCAGCTGGAAGACCCTGGGTTCGAATCCTAGTAGGTGCGTGTTGATGAAGAGTTTCAAACTAGAATGAAACAGCTTTCCCGTGCACCCTAGTAATACGCGCTGTGGAAGCCCTATGTTACACTCGGAATCCAAGAGAATAATAATAATATTGTTAGTCTACCAACCCTGATATTATCCATCCTTGATAGCGAGCACTCTTACCATCAGTGTATTTCAGTTATATTCAAAGCAAAGAATAAGAAAATATACCCTGTGTTGATCAGTACGTCAGCTATTTGAAATTTAGTCAACTTATCTAAATTATTAACTATTTTAATAATAACCATTGATGCTAGTTAGGAATGAAATATATCTTTAAATCAGTCAGTTCACCACAGTGGACATTCTGAAGTTTTAGTGAGAGTTCATGACCAATATATTCCACCATTAAATGATGTACTAGAACAGACACTTGCCGTTAACTTTTTTAGCTGTAATGCTGTATATTTCAAATTAGCGGAATTCAGAATTCACCGATCATTGGAAGATTAAAAGGTTAGCCTTGTAACCTTTAGGACTGATGTCAGTGCAGTGACAGTCAGCGCAAGTTGCGGGCTCACTTTTATCATAAAAAAGTCAACCAGTAAAGGTCAGTCAGCTAACTGCCCATACAATTCGTGTTTGGTTGTAGCTTGACTCAAACATAAAAAGTTAGTAAGAACCACAGTAAATCCTGGCATGATAATTATTTAAGTATCTCACCATGAGCTGACATCAGTTAGAGAACCATTGGAAAACTCTCTGGGAGTACTGGACAGCTGTATCGTCCTAGTTCAGGACTCTTCATCAGTACTCACCAATGAGGAGCTCCAAGCCAGGACTTCTTAGTTACAAGGTGAGTGAACTCGTAGACAGTTACGCCGAACTCGAACCAATAGCCTATGAATTGCAACTTCTGCTAATTCACGATATGGTGCGACCACTAGCCGATGGCATTGGCGATTAGTATTCTCCACACCCAACCTAGTGCACCCGTTGGTCATGACTTCTCAATAAAACCCAGCTAACTACCTACCTGAATAGGACCAGTCACTTAGTATCAATCTGATGCCTTCCGGTTACAAGGTAAGCATGTAGACACTAACTGGTAGTCATGCTAAAACCATGAACCGATAGAAGCTGGGATGAGTCGACTTTTGGATAGGGTCCCAGTCTCTGAGCTGTCCAAGGACTCTGTAGTCTTATAACTGAAAGGTCCTAGGTTCAAATTCCAGTGGCTACGTGCTAATGGTGAATCCCAAACTAGGATAAAAACATTTGTCCACCCCACGGCTTTTAATGGTTCTCTAACTGACAACAATCCATGGTAAAACTTTAAACAAATCAAATCCCTTCAGATAAATCCTTCAAAATTAGGATTGTTGGTAAATGATCATTGAACATGTTTATCACCTTCGAGATTGACAATGACTTTTTTTTCATTCTGAGTGAGACGCAGAAATTCAAGCTTTTAACTTTGAGGTTTCAACAGTGGTAATGTTTTATTTTGTCGGGTGTAGTGTCTCCAACCTCACACTTAACCTTCCTATCCTCTCTAGGTCACTAGGCAAGGTTTAGGAGTGAGTTCATCGTTGCCTGTAACTTGAACTATTTGCGCGGCAGGCGAAAATTTCACTACTAACCCCCAACCCCCCCCAACGCTCACTGTAAAGTGTTCGAAAGATTCCCAACTTGCCTACTGAGCTGTACAAATTCACAACTGTACACCTCAACTGTACACCTGTAATCATAAAAATTTTAATTCGTATTTTCAGTTATCCCTATACTACTTACATGTTTACTACTTATTAATCGAAAGATATACCAGTTCAATATTATTGTAAATGTTATTTTACTGTTATTCTGTTTGTAGCTGTATATATATTCGAACGCACACACACAAACATACACACATCTTCACAAGTTATATTATCTTTGTGCCAAAAATTTCTTCACAAATGGATGACAATACAAACCGTTCCGATTTGAATAATAACACCAACAACAATAATAATCCTGTACCATCTATTATCGTTGAAGACTATTCAACTCCATTAAAGTTCAAAGTTATTCTGGTGAGCAAACACCAGTAAGCAGTAGTTATTTTGGTTCAATAGCCAGTGATGAACAAAGTGTTACAAGTAGTCAAAGTAGTCGACAGCATAAACTACACCTAACTGGGAGTCGATTACGCTCAAGATTAAAAGCATTAATGCGATCTAAATCTGATAAATACGAATCAAAAACTTATCAGGGGAACAAAAACACTGCAGCAGACAACGTGGATCCTGCAGCATATTCTTCCTCGGCTACAATTACAGGTTATTATGCAGGTAAAAATGAATCAGAAATTAAATCAATGAATTATGACACTTTACCTCCGCTGCCAAAATTTCATGAAACTACTCCAGAGTATTATTCTGAGAATGAAAAGAAATATACCAATGGTAGAGATGTAGAAGATGGTAATGATAATGACGATGGTAACGATGACAATGATTCTTCAATGAAGTCTTTAATCAAAGGTTTCCAAAGTACTTCCCTGTCTTCCAATAATACTAATCTATCAAAATATCGTACTAATCAGAATCGTTCTCCATTAGTAAAACAATTCTCTGTACCTAAACATCATGCTGATCCGCTGTATGAAAAACATCATATTGTTCTGGAGGAGAAAGCATTGACAAATACTGCAGGGAACGCTGGACAGCATAGCCATCATAGTCATCACCATCATCATCATCATCACCATGGAAACCATCACCATCATCATCATCATCATGGTCACAGTAATAAAACACGATCGAGTAGGATTTTATCACCCAGTTCTACAAAATCTTTACAACCAAAGGATGCAAATAATCAACCTGAAGATAAAGAGGATTCTGTAAGTCTGTTAAAATAATGCGCTTTTTATTAAATTTTACAATCTGTTCACTTGTTCTATTTTCATAAAACTATAAAATTATTAGTTATTCAATTGAATTGAAAGAATTTATAGACGACAGATTTAAATTCATGGTTCAGCATTTCAGTTTGTAATTGAATAAACTGCCATATTCTATTTGGTTGTGTAAATTAACTGACTAAGGTTTACTATTGTTGCCGTTATTTATTAGGATTATTTCTTCTTTGAATTCCGAGTGAAACATAGAGTCTCCATCGTACATCTTCATTGCTCTTGGTTCTCTGATACTTACATTTTCGTCAGCTGGCTCTATGCACAACTAGAAAAAAAGATTTTTTTTTAAGAATAATTATATAAACTTCTGCATATCATAGACCTTAGTCCAACGCCCAAATTGTAACTTTACGCTCGGGTTCCACTCAAGGATATGCTTGGAGTATGGTGTCACTAGAAAGTCTCCTTACATAAACGGAAATTAGCAATACTTTTTGATACATGGCTCAGGCTTATATAGTATTACACTTACCGAAGATTAGATGGTCGGTCAGAAATAATTAGCAAAAAGGAACTCTGAGAACGAGCCAACCAACAGCTTGTTACCCAACAAATATGGTGGAGAAAATAGAGATGGACGGGATATACTCTGAGGAGTCCGCTGAATGACATCATGTACTAGGTAGAACCTCAAGTGGAGGTCGATCGGGAAAAGAAGAGTTTGGCGTGTGTATTCAATGGTGATATGGCATACATATCTCTGCGCTTTCAAGGTGTTAATCCTCTACTTTCCTAATGTTCGCCTTACTCTCTATAACTGTCTAAATGCATTTTGTGTTACAGTCTTATCATACACATTAACTGAAATAAATCATAGTTTACGGCATGGATATCTTATGATATCATACCCTAATTTTTAATTTGGAAAAATCTCAGTTTTTATCATTTCATCAGAAAAATCAATAACGATTTTTTCAACAAAGCAAGAACTACAGTTTTAGCAGAATAAAGTGGTACCATCATTGTTTATTTCGTCGCCTTCTGGTCAGCTGCTTACATGGCAAAGACATTATTAAATATATCTACAAAAACAATTTTAACATACTTACACAGAGTTCATTTTAAACAAAAATCAATCAATCAATACATTCCCACAGTAATATATATATATATATATATATATATATATATATATATATGTATATATATTTGTAATATTAAACACTATTCCGAACAATAATTTTTTTTCCTTCACGTTCCCAGTGGAACATAGGGCTTCAGGTTAATGACTTGAACTTTCTGTAGCAGTGTTTATTTCTACACGATGGGGTTGCTAGCCTCATGCCCAACGTTTCCTCTTTACCAGCATTATTTCTGGTTCAGCGAGGTAAAGGAGTGCGTCGGTGACCGGGTATCGAACCCCGGACCATGTGCATGGTCGGCATGCGTCCTAATTGCTGTGCCACCGACGCCCGAACAATAATAATCATACACAATGGAAATTTTAGCATAACGCATGCAGATGAAATGGAGACAGAAATAGTATCCTGTTACCAGGGCAAAGAAAGACTGATAACCGCTTCTTTCTGGACGCATAAATCAGGTTTCAGGCACTTGATGGAAATGGCTTCAGAAAATTTGAGGAGAATTGAGCTCTTTTGCTTATTGATAATTCTGAACGACATTTCGACGTCCACTTCATGACCCGTGTCGAGGAGATGCCTGGCGATGGCGATTAACTGACTGACTAAATAAGTGCTAATCAAAATTAGCTGTTTAACGGTGGTTAGCAATGGAAATTCAAAAAGTACATTTCATGTGTGAATTGGAATTCATCAGTGAGAGAAATTGTCCTCCTTTAAGACTCGAACCTAGCATGCATGGCTTCAAAATCTAAACTGATTATCCATTAGTCTAGTGAGTCACTAGTACTTATTACTTTTGTGGTCTCTGTTTCACGAGACTGATCGATTCCGTCTAGATATATGAAAAACGGGGAAATTATGAGTAGGCAACAAAAAAATAATATTAATAATAATTTTCAGTAAATCTAATATCCAAATTCTTTTTTCCTTTCAAAGCATTTATTGACAGACAAGGGGATTGTGAAAGGGTTTATTCAGTTTTTTCAATATACTTCTGCCTACTCACTTACTGTTTGGTGTCAATTAGGGAATTAATGAAGAGTAGTTAATGATAGACAGTTTTTATTATTGCTATTATTATTATTCCTACACTGAAAATTATCACATGAGATTATTAGAAAAAAAGAGAAGAATTTAAACACGCCAATGATTAGTAGTTGTCCGCTTCCTTTTCATATTACATAATTTCTAAAAAAACACTTATTAGGATTCTCAGTGGAGCATAGGGTTTTAACAGTATATCTCCTTCTCAAACCGTCTACTCCATGTCCATCTAGACTCATGCCCGACTGGTCACTTCCTATTCGGGGTTTCAACTCAAGGGTCTGCCTATTGTGTGATGTCACTCAACGATATCCTCAAGCGTCGCCATTTTCTTCTACAATTTTATTAGATAATGGGTCCTTGGTTGATTCGCCACCTGCCATTGTTCTTTGTTGTTCATGCTTTGTGGTTGACAATCAGAACTTCAGTAGCAAGGCTTTGAAGCAGCTGTTGATTGAAGTAGGTAACAGCCTGTTTGAAGTGCTTTCTGTGGCACACGTGTCAAGTCTCTAAATCGTACAGTGTTAAAATTTTGCTTGAAGTTATCGAAATAGCATGTTTTATTACTGTGAAATAATCACCTGGTTAGTGGTTGATTTTTACGGGTCTTCTGATAGAGCGGACGTATGATGATTCGTAGACTACTGGTTCGAATACTGCCACTGCTCAGATTTCCTTTCACACATTAAATCAATGAGCAAAAGTAATAATAATAATACTAATGATGATATGAGTAAATATATATATATATATATTCACTGAATTGTTTCTATTAGACGGTTGGAGGTATTTGGGAAGAAGACTTGAATCTAAATTGGGTGTCTGCGGGTATTTGCCAGTTAGTAAGGCCTATCCGATTTCGTCAGGGAACTCTTGTCCCTTCCGATTTTAGAAGCCGTATCGCCCAGTGCTGAAGTCAGAAATGTTACCTCTATGCTATTCAGACTCTCAGTTCACCTTCTGTAGGACTAGTTGAGCCACCTAGCATGGCGGCTACATTGAAAACTTGTCTGATAATGGAATTCAGTCCCCACCAACACCAAGAACTAGACTTATGAGAGCAGTTATTCCCCCCTCCCCCAGTATCCAGTCAAAGAACATATTTATTCAATTGTGTTTGAAATTTCTCTGGAATCTGATGCTTAGTTATGTACTCTTAAACACTGAAGTCATCTGACTCAGAAGCTATATGTGCTTCTTTCAAATCCAGTTATTACTCTTGGTAAACATTTTATAAAACAAGGGAAAGTGGGATATTGTTTTAAAAATTCACCAGTTCTCACACGTCTTTCGACTTAGTACCTAGAAGCATTTTGTTAAATAAGCTTCCTGAAACTAAAACTGAGTGTTGGGGCTGCATTCTTATTTCTCAGGAAGAAAGCAATACACTGCACGTCAGCGGGAGTCGTCCACCGAATTGCTTGCTGATGCTGATGTGTTGTTCTTTCTCCTTTTCTCTTTACTTTCTTCTTGCATGGCTTGCCTCACTTCGATGAAATGAACTTTCTTAAGTATGCGATGATCTAACTGTTTCAATCCCTGTTAACTTCCAGCTAGACGGTACTAAGACGAACGGCTTCTATCAGGCGTCAGCAAATGGTCTTCGTCGAGTGGTCTTAAACTAAACCCTCCCAAGTGTCAGGCTGTAATTTCAATCTCTGATGTGAAGGAAAGTTAAACGAAGCTGTTAATTCCTATGAACGTTGTAAAATTCATGACAGCGATATAGAAATCAAGTCTGACGTTAAATATCTTGGACTAATTTTTTCTCCTGAACCATCCTGGTCTTCCCATGTCTTAGCGATTTCTAAAAGAATATTTCGTCCGACTATTACATTGAGGAGTTAAGACACTTTGTCAAGTCGTGCATCTTACCTATTGTTCTTTATTGTTCACCCTTATTCCCTCCTGGATTGCTTAGAAAAAAATTATGTCATACTTTGTAGGACTCTGAAGACTATGGTATACCGATGGGCTATATCGTTGACAATGTCATTGATAGGCACTTGATTTCATGTAACAAACTTGCTGGAGGGATTTTATCAGACTTGAGCATCCATTTTACCCCAGCTTTCACCTTGTATCTCCTTAGGCAAAACAAAAGATTTTATGCACAAACGTCTAAGTATAAAAATTCCACGATAAAATATTTGGCATTTATTTTATGTGATGAAAATAGTGTCAAGGATGAACCAACTAACCTTCTTTGTTCCATTATAGATAAGATTTTATTTTGATAAATCGCACAGTGTTTACAGTTATATGAACTGATGACGTTTCGAGCACAAACTATTGCTCATAATCATATCAAGTTACTCACACAACTTTGATCTCTCATTTATATACATGTGTGGAATGGATTAGATATTGATCCTTATCGAGTCCACACCCAACACATGCAACAAAAATGACTCAATGCAAATACCAGAGATATGGAAGATATTATTACCGCAGGTCAAATCATAAAAGGGTAATAAATAATATTAAAATTCTATTTCAATTCAAACACATCACAACATCCTAACAAAAAACTTATTATGACTATTAAAACACTCGTCGTATCTTCCATCTGATTATAGTTGATCAATAACACTCGTATTATTGCCATCAGTCAAACCAGAAGAAGATAATAAATAATCTTAAAATTCTATTTCAATTCAAACACATTCTAACAAGCAGCTTATTATGACTGTAAAAACACTCGTCCAATTTTCCCATCTAATTGCAATTGATCAACAACACTCGTACGATTATTTCTGAATGTACATTATCTCACATTGATTTTTAATCCAATAT